TATCCTGCAGCACACCTGTCCCTACCATCCTGAACTCCTTTCCAGGGCCTTGTCTGATGGATTCACTGGGAGATGGCACAGCTGTGTTCTCAGACAAGTCTCTGCTTCATCCTTTGTTCTGCCAGCCACAGGATACTGCTTCTACTCTGTGTCTTTTGTGCAGAAGTAGTCATAAGCTGGCCCAGCAAGGGAGAACTCTGGAAGTTTAGCCTGGGTGTGTGGGATGGGGGTTTCTGCTGATCATCAGTGACACATTAACAAACTCATTACGTTCAATAATATCAAGTGTGTCAGTAACATAGATGATAATTTCCAGTTGCCTGTTTTTTAAATCTAAGGTCATTAGTCTTCTAGAAAATATTAAGATGCACCCCTTCCCACAACCATCGAGGGTGAACTAGACTCAATATACACTTAGCTTCATGACCAAATGGATTTGCAGGAGTCAAGAGTTGCAACTTTACCCACATAGCCTCAGCTTGGGTCCCTCCTCCATTGGGAGCTACGTTTATATAACACTACTGTACGGCACGGCCTCTCTCTCTCAGAGTCAGGAGGATAATTTACGGCACCCTCCTGCATCTTGATGATGCTTATTTTTCTTTACAATAGTGTACATATTAATAAAGAACTACATCTAGAAAGATCCAAAGGCCCAAAGTCCCATAGTCCCCTGACTGTTGCAAATGCAGAGCATAGCAAACATCAAGTCAGCCAGCTAGGCCTTTGTTATGAAACTAACATTCCTAAAATAATAAAACACTTTTTTTGTTCAGTAAACTTTAATTGCAGTCATTTCTCAAAATACTGGGGAGATTGGCTCCAGGATTGCCGCACAAAAGCCCACAGATATTTAAGCCCCTTATATAAAATGGTACCATGTCTATGTAGACCATATGGAGGTCCTCACATATTTTAAATCATCTCTATGCCATTTCTAACACCTAATATGTGGCAATGTCATACAAATAATCATAGTGTTATGTTGTTTATGGAGTAATGATATGAATTGAATATACATATTGCAGAAGCAATATTGTCTGTTGTTGGTTGAACTCATGGATACAGAACCTATGGGCACAAAAGGCTGACTGTAATACATTAGCACCATGTGTCTAAACATGTCATGCAAGTGCAGACCTAGAGAGAGTACTGAAAGTACCTGGGTTCCTATGGTGAAGGAACCAGCATCTGAGGGGCACATAGTCAACTACGACTCACCTCCACAGGTCTCCTGTATTCGCACCACATCGCCAATCTGTAGGGTGAGATGCTGGGCTCCACTGCCTTGGAAGTTGTAGATGGCTGTGAAATGGAACATGGAGACAGTCAGTTAGACCTCTAGGTATCTTGACTCCTTGCTCCACCTTGCTTCCTCTGCCTTCAGTGGACCTCACACTTATGAAGCCCGCATGGACTAAAGAAAGCCAGTGCAAAAGCCAACTGCCTTCTTCAATCATCAACCGGACCCTCTTAAAAACTGAACCTAACCTCTTCCCACATTGGTCCTGTACTGTAGTCTTGGTGACAGGAGACTGCTTATACCATCCACACATCTGGCCTCTTGCTGTGCTCCAGGCATGAGGTTGCGTATCTTCTTCTTCCCTCCCCACAAGCAACCCATTGTGAAGCAGGAGCTGTGAGGCCAGAAATGGAATTCTGGCCAAAGTAGCCAAGATGAGAAATGCCAGGAAACTCTAATCTAACTTCCATACTCTCACCCTCTAAGCTGGGCTGCCTTCTGATCCCCATCTCCCCATCTCAGCAACAGAATCCTAACATGCAGGGCTCTCTACTACTCTGTTACCAACCACACAGTCCCCCTTGTCCAATAAGTAGGACAGGATGAGCTAGTGGTTTGAAAACTACCAGATTGCGACACTGTTTAAGGTTGTGAGCCTTTAAGATGTTCTGGCTGGTGGAAACGAATGACTAAGGGTGGGCCTTTGATTATGCCTTTTGTTAATTCCAGCCGTTGTTTCCTGATCTATTCATATATGACAAGTCATTGCCAGGAGCTTCCAACCACCACATAGCCCTTCTGCTATGCCTTCCACCCATGGTGGTCAGAAATTCATTTGAAATGGTGAGCCAAAATAACACCCTTCCTCTGAAGCTGTTACATCAAGCATTTCATCACAACAAAAGAAAGCAACACAAAACATCTGATTCCTAACCAAGCACAGCCAACCTAGAGCTCACCAGAACAAACCCTTCAGGCTCCTGCAGGCCACAATCACACTGTTCCCTAATGGTTGTAGTGTTCATGGAGGAGCACTTAACATTCAGGAATGCATTCCCATCCATGGACTGGAGATTTAACTCAGTAATAGTTAGCAAGTAATAGTAATAGTAATAGTTAGCAAGTGCAAGGTCCTGGGTTCAGTCCCCATCATGAGGGTGGAAGTCAGGGGTAGGGATTCCAAAAAAAAACAAAAAACAAACAAACAAACAAAAAACACCAAGGGAACCTGCTTTCTCATACAAACTGTTAGTTCCTGGGTTTAGGAGTTGTCACAGACTCCTCTAGTCCTTTGGAATCGCCCACACCATTGCAGGGAGGAGTAGGTTGTGCAGTATCACTGTCATAGTCTCCTTTCCCCATGGCGATGGCAGTCTTGATGATGGCTGCCTGAGTCACTGACATAGGTTCCTGGAGCTGTGAACAGCAGAAGGACCCTGTCTCAAAAAGTTTTGAGAGGTGTGTGTGTGTGTGTGTGTGTGTGTGTGTGTGTGTGTGCCCTGCACGACTATTACATCTCTAGCTCTGAACACTCACTTACAGAAGCAACTTTACAATGACCAATCTCTAAAACATTACAGATTATCCAACTACCTTCACCAGCTAGGGCAAAGACTTTAAGAACAACAAAAATGTCTTCCACAAACCCTGGGAATTTAGGATTAGGGCTGAAATACTTCTAAGGAAAATGGCTTGAAAATACACCAAAGAATTTCCAAGACTGTGCATGAATGTCAGACACAGGCTGAGGGAAAAGTGTCAGGAAGCCCTGAACTCTCAGCTCTGACTGAGTCTCAACAGCCATGCAGGCAGGAATTCAGGCTGAGCAGAGTTGCCAATATCTGAGTAAATGCTGAAAGCATGTCAACACACAGAGCCAGCTGCAAAGACCAGGGTTTTGTCCCCTTTCTTTTGACTCCAGGTATTTAGAGTCTCCAGTCCACACACAGCACATTGCACAGTCCTCATAAAAGTATTTCCAAAAAGCGACTAACCATGCAAACACTACCACCAAATCATCCAAACACTACCATCTCAAGCAATTACACCAGGCTCTGGGCAAGAAAGACAGCATGTCTTCCACAGCTATCACATCATAATTAATATTCAAATATTCATAATAATGTCTAGTTTTCAATTCAAAATTGTGAGGTATGTTAAGAGGGAAGATGGCATATCCAGTTCATGGGAAAGAATAAATGAAAAGAAAATTGGGCAAGTAAAAGGACAAATATTGGACTTGGGAGATGAAGGGTTAAATCAACTATCTTATGTATATTTAAAGGACTGAAGGAAAATAGGACTCAAAGCATAGGGAACAAGAGTGATGACTCTGAAGTAAACAGTATCACTGAAGATATAGAAATTACAAAGGTAGAGCCGGGTATGGTGGCATGCAGGTACAATCCTAGTACTAGAGGCTGAAGCAGGAGGATCACAGATTTGAACAAGGTCAGTGTGGTTTCATAGTGAGAACTTACCTCAAAAATATATACAAAAAAAAATCAAATAGAAACTCTGGGCAGAGACAACAATAAAAATACGAAAAAAATCCATTCCACAAGGAGGGAGGCTCTCTCAGCCTGGACACATAGGCAAGGGCCTAGACCCTGCCCCAGATGATATGACAGACTTTTGGGTTCCCCTATGGAGGGCTTCACCCTCCATGGGGAGCTCAGAGGGAGGTTGGGATAGCGGGTTGATGGGGGAGGAGAGGAGGGAGAGGGAGCTGGGATTGACATGTGAAGCAAACTTGTTTCTAAT